CCATCATGGCACCGGACACCGGTACCCATCCCTAGTGCTTATATTACCTACATCATGGGGACCCTGGTTCATTTAAGGACTGTTTGTCCTTAAATGAACCAGGGGTCCAGTTATGTTCATCTCCAGGCACTTCATCTTCTGTTTGGCTGTAGCAGATGTGAAGATGACCACAGACCATTCTATCCGAGTTAAAATCCTGGGTTAGCTCTAATTTTCTAAAGCTCAAGGAGGATAAAACTGAGATCCTCCTTACTGGAGGCAAACCATTTCTCACTCACCATCGATGACTCCTCAGTTTTCCCTTCTCCTCAGGTTAAGAGCCTTGGTGTCATCCTAGACAGTTCACTTTCCTATAAATCTCACATCAATAGTCTCACCCGTTCTGCCTACTTCCATGTACGCAGCATTAAGAGATTACGTCCTTCACTTTCCACCCAGTCTACGTCCATTCTTGTCCACAGTCTCGTTACCTCCCATATGACTACTGCAATTCTCTTTTGCATGGTCTTCCCCACAAATCCCTCCATAAGTTGCAACTGGTTCAGAACTCTGCTGCTCGCATTATCACCAGAGCCCCTCCTACCAGCACATCACCTGTTCTTCTGGAACTCCACTGGCTCACAGTGAAAATCCAGATAATATTCAAACTTCTTCTGCTCACCTTCAAGGCCCTTCATAACCTCGCTCCTCCTTACCTTTGTGACTTGTTAAGCACTATCTCTTCTACCCGCTCACTTCGATCTTCTCTTTCTATCCAGCTTCCTTCTGCCTCAGCACCATTGGAAGCAGAGCTTTCAGCTGCTCTGCTCCCAGGCTGTGGAGCTCTCTACCCCCAGAAATAAGAAACACTGGTTCTCTCCCCCAGTTTAAATCCCAGCTCAAAGTCCATCTGTTCAAATCTGCATATTCACTGTGAATCCACTGTTTGTTCATTTTATCTTGTGCTTTTGTTTTTATTGTTCTTCATTGTGTCATTGTTCCATTATGTGTTTTATCCTATTGCAAAGTGTCCTTGGGTGTCTTGAAAGGCGCTTTATAAATAAAATTTATTATTATTATTACAGTTGGAGGATCCTCCTCTTTTCTGATGTCATGCAGGCTCCGGAGTGGTAGAGCGTTTAGATCAGTCTGAACAGGATGTTACTGTGCCCTGATGATGTGCTGTCTTATGTTGAGGAGCCATATCAGCTACTGTTCAGTGGATGTTAGTCGGAAATCACCACACTGAACCTAATGTCATTTAAAAGCAGTGAGCGTGTCCTTTTCACTGTAAACACACCTGAATGTACCTGTGACGTGCTGCTGCGCTTTGATTGGTCAGGATGTGTGGCAGCAGGTGAAGGAGGGGCAGATCAACCCTCTGACCCTGAAGGAGATGTTGGAGAGCATCAGGAAGAAGGCCGATGTGCCGCTGTCGGTCCGCTCGCTCAGCTTCCTGTCTCTGGAGCCCCACGAGATGGACGAGTTTGTTGAACTGCTCAAACACCAGCCGATCAAGCGCCAGGTAACTCCCAGGTCGCATCGTCCACAATGACATCACCGTAGTGCTTTTATATCTGTCTTTATGATTCATGTGGTTTTCTTCTTCTACCTGTTTCACATGTCAGCTCCTGTTTGTGTTGATGGTTCACTGTATAAATCTGTACCTCATCACCAACAG